AATACTGAATTTCGAAAAGATAGACTTTTCATATGTTTTACTAATTGATCGACAGGGTGTTTTGCCACAGGAGTGTATTAAATCGACCATGTGACGACTGCGGAGAAAAATTTTATCATGTGACTCACTTTTCTGCTTCAGCAGATCCGCTTGCTGTAACAAATGTACACAATAACTTGAATTTGTTTTTCCCACCCAATTCAAACAATAATACTAGCTTTCCTTTATTTGACTAAGGATCTAGTAAAGGAGCGGATCTGATATGCTTGTTTTCTTTCGTCATCTGACACATGTTCTTATTATTATTTGACAATACTAATGCACATAGTAGTTGAGCGTATTGTTTACCCTGTCGATCATCTGTGTATCGTCATACATAATTCACGTGCATTGCTAAAAATGATTATCTCTATAACGATAAATGCTCCTTGCTTAATGCGTACTAATATAATGCAGTTCGCATATTAACACTCTTCATTACGGCCGAGCAAAGGCCATTTCGTATCTTCCAGATTTCCATTATTTATACTTGTTTCATAGGATTCGATAAACATCCAGAATTCCGTGATCGACTTCCGTGATCGACACAGACTATTTTTGGGAGGATGGGCGCATTATTATGCGGGGGAAAATCTGATACTGATACTGATATTTCTTTGCTGTCAACGTCGTGGTAGTTTTGTCAAAAGGTAGAACAATAAGTAGAACGTTAAACCTTTTTGAAACAACAGACGATTGGAAGGGATGACCGAGTGATTGTCTTTACTCAAATATGTTTAAAAAAAAGACCAAGAAAAGAAAGGTCAGCGTAACAAGATATGCACATACGCCCATCATATACGAAAGTGGGTTGAATGTAGTCTGCTTTGTTAACTAGTGTTACCAAGACTGGCAAAACAAAAGACAAAAACAATGCACACAACCTGAACACAACTATTCGTTTTCACATAATAAATTGTCATGTGCTGTCATGGTTCAGAACGCTTTCGTTCTTTTTAGTAAGCCCTTTGGATTCGCAGCTTATTGACAAGACATCACTAGACAATACAGTCTGCCAGTATTGTAAATAAACAAGTCCATGGAGGAAGAGTATGAAGAAAAGTCCAAGATACTAGATAATCATAGCTGTATTTCCGTAAGCCCTGACGGACAAAGCATTGTGGTAATCGATCCTGGTGAGCGAAAAAAAAAATGATTCCGATATTGTCGATTCAAGCAGAGATGTGGTTATGTGTTGACTTTTGTTTGCAATTTCACAGACGCTACCGCAATAAAGATATACAGCATACCAGAAAGTGGAACAGCGAAACATGAAATATGTCTCCCAGAAGATTTTGCAGCAAGTCTGATTGCCAAGGGAGGTCACATCTCGCTTGCAATAGCAGATGATCATACTATAGCATTGTCTGTGTTTAACGTATCCCCGGACACTCTTCCTAAGAAAGCATTAATAGAAGTAATAAGCAAAGACGGTATTTTTGATCTGAATAGTTTGGGTGTTGGCTCAACGAGAATAGTCGATGTTGCGAAAAGTACTATTATTGTGGATTTAGACTTTGCTGGCGTAATTCGATTTATCGATAACGAGACGGTGGTCGTTCTCCAAGAAACTACTTATACGTTGTACAACATAAACAACCACCATAAACGACAATTTCTGTATCCTCCTTCAATGATGCAGAAACTATCTGTAAAAGAGGCATACAAACAGAATCTATTACTCGATAGGCAAATTATCGGCCAGTTTCTTATAAGCGTCGATCCATCGGGAGGACTTGACCTTTTTGATGTGACAAGTGGTAACCTGGTACAAAATTTTCGACACACTCCGATTGACGAGATGGAGACAGTCAGGTCTGCTCTTATCCCTCATGTTACGATATCATCCAACTCAAAGTTTCTGGCTGCTTGCGATAAAATGGGACAGATGAGCCTATACCTTTTGGAAAGCGGCATACATGTAGCTACCCTAAGATCAGAAAAGAGAGACATTGATATGCTATGTTCAGAGAAATATGGTCACCCTGTGTTCATGGCGTTTATCGACAACGATCAAAAGCTATTTACCATAATTGAAAACAAGTATGGTTATCGCCATACAATTTATGAACTATCAGAGTTTTACACAAATACGGAATATCACTCGTTCAGTCGTTTTTCGAAAAAAGATTTTGGTTTTAAGGTATCAAAGCATCATCCTATAATACAGACCGTGGGCGGTCTATTTTATGTTGAAGCGGATGGTAAACCAACAAAATTAGATCCAATCAATATGGCTGCAGATGAGTCGCCTTGTAATTCTTCTTTACTCATTGATACGAAGACTATTGAGAAGAAAACCCGAAAGTTATTAGGTATACCAGAGGGACTACCGCCTATGTCGGAAAAAAAATACAATTTATATCTACCCGACGCCATTAATTTCGAACCCTGGGAAAGGACCGGAAAACCGCACCGGTCAGAAGCCCTAGACAGTTCGAGAGCTTTGTGGTTGATCGTAGGTGAAGATACAATACAGATATGGCAGAAACTCGACGAACCGATATACCTCTGGGCCGCGCATGATTACATATCCGATCCCAAACCAAAAAAGACTGTAAAAATTAAACACCACACTCATCGATGTGAAGGAGAACATGATTTAATAATACAAGTGGCAACAGACGATGGAAAGGAAGATACTGTTATCCGCATATACAATTTATTTAATGGTGGGAATTACTTGAGACAATCGGTGGTGTCACTCGTCAATAGTTTTGCATTTATTAAACGCATACAACAACAGACACCCAACACGTCATCATACATTCGTAATTCAAGGAGAATACGTGATCTTGAATTATGCACACGCCGAGCCATCTATGATGTCATTGAAAATCAGCCGGATGTTTGGCAATTGATGGATTCAAGATATAAGATAATGAGGACATTATTGCTTACAAAGGACGACGAGATCATAGCTGAAATATTGAAACCGGGGAGATGTCTACATCGGCCACAATTTTATGGTGATGAAAGTCAGTATTATGCAAGCGATTTAACCACTGCGTCGAGGATTAGCAGAGAAAGTCTAAGAACAATGTTAAGACATTACAGTCAAAACGCATTAGAGGCAGTCGGTTGGATGTCTACATTTTCAAGTGCTTTACCGCAATTATATAGAGAACACCAAGGTCAGCTGAATCATAAAAAACGGGGGGGATACTAATTGCATTAAATTGCTTTATTAACAAAATATATTCCTGTGCCTTTACTAGATATTATTGATAACTACTTTGCGAATTCCGCTGTGTTTGGAGCAAAGACTATCGATCCGAGTGAATTTCAATATTGCGACATTAGATTACCTCCCGAACGTCTAAAAAGGGTGCGATCAATCGATTTCATTCCCAAACTACAACCGCCGCCAGAACTTTATGACGACTCGCTAACGTTCACCCAAAAGATTCGGCATAACGTGTCAAAATCTATTAACTTTTCTGCAAAGATGTTGAACTCAACGACAATGTACACGGCTTCGCCGTCAGAACAGAGACATAGATTCGGGACATTGTGTGTAGTGCCTTTGCCGGAATTTGATGGCAATACCAATGCAGCAAGATCAGCCCGGCCCGCGAAATCGACTTTCTGGAGCGAGACAGCAGAGAGGTTATCTCGATTATCGAAACCTTCATTCTTACTCTGGATTCCGGCAGTTAATCTGTTATACATGCTGTCCATGGGAAGATCGGTCGAATGTACATGCAGTCCTTTTCTCAATCTGTTCAAATTGCTTCCGTCAAGTGCTCTCTTCGAGAGTCCCTGTATGGAAGCGGTGGTCGATTTTAAATGGAGGAAATATGGGCAAAATAAATTTACCCAATATCTTGTATATTATTGTGTTTGCTTCATAATGTTTTCGGCACTGATATGGCACTGGCTGAATGCGGAGCGCTCGAAATTGATGACATTCTATGCGCTTGTTATGGTTTTCAATTATGTATTCTTTCTATTATTCGCTTTGAAAAAACTGAGGGTTAACCCAAGAAGCACTTACGCATGGATCGAGTTATTAACCATAATAGCTGCTGTTGGTGCCAACATTCTCATGCTTCTGGATTCTGTTGGGGCTCTGACGAACGGGGCGCAGACTATCGTTATTTATTCTGCATTTGCTGTTCTGAGTCTATGGGTACAATTTGTAAGTATTGTTGTTTTGGCGGAGATTGATGGATGATTGATGACGTAAGAGATTAATAAAAGTATCTGTTACTTTATTTAGATTCTCATGCTTAGAGTCGTAAACGGTAATGAAGTGTCTATTTAATTAAGATAGGAGTTATTTAATAATAACGAATATTAATCACAGGATCAAAAATATCTTTCTAGGTATTGGACATTACGTTAGCACTCCAATATCGATACTCAGACATACTTATCGCTTCCTGGTAGTTATGGCTTTGTTCATCATAGGATACGGACATACAATGTAAGTTGCTCATTTTCAGTCATCGTTTTGAATTATGCTTGGATTTAACTATTAATAATGTTTCTGCTATAATAGATTTGTTTTACTATCAACTCCTGTAAACGACAACACGGATGTGAGCACTAATAACAGTTCTGATAGTGTGATGTCGAACTTTATAACCAAACTACGTGGTTCGGGTGGCTCGGGTGGCTCAGGTGGCTCAAGTGACTCCGGTTCAAACAGTTCTAGCGCTAGTAACGGTCCTGCCGACAACCCTTTCAACAACATAGCTAACTCTGTAGTACAAGTCTTCTTTTGGACCAGTGGTGCTTCACCATTGGTTCAAAATCAAACATTCCTCACTCTCACCATAATCTTGGTAATAGGCACTCTCATACTAGTTACAATGATGCAAAACATACTTATCGCTCTAATGACGTGAGTGTGAATTATTGTTATCGATGTGTTTGTTATCATCTTTTTACGGCATATTCACCCTACTTTTCCTAAATTTGCAGAGCGGTTGTCGAGACTGTGAAAGAAGATGAAAAAAATATGATTCTCGTACTACGAGCCGAATACCTGATTGTGGTGGAAGAAATGCTTCTCAGCGCAAAAGAGCATCGCAATAGGGAATGGTTTCCAAAGCATGTATTTTATTACGCTAATGCGGATTTAGTTGAAAAATGGCGTAAAAAGGGAAGGGCGCCGAAGACTATACATGGCGTTGAGGAGAGAATTTCTAAGCTTGAGAATTTGGCTCAAGAGATTCTTGATGCTTTAAAAAATAGACTATAAAAAGCGGTGGGTTTATGATGGACGTTGAACATTGGATTAATGTAGGATAAAATTTTAGATCGATGAATACAAAAAAAAAGCAAAATGTAAATTCATAAATAATGAACAATTTTCTTGATAATTTCCTTTTTCTGCAATTCATAATGAAAAAGGGAAGATATGGGAACTAGTATAGATTTTTACGATCATAAGCGAATAAAGTCGTTTAGAGTTGAAAACTCTTTTTTTTAATAACTATTATCAAATCAACTTGGCTTTTCTTGTTTCGAGTATAAACTGGTGCGTGTAACGTCTACTGCTGGAATATGTCAAATTTTCAGTTACCAAAACAGATGATAAATTTAATCATAACCAACGAAGCAATCTTCACGTTGTTGAATATCATTATTCCCAATTTGTTTAAAATTATGTTATAATCCAGACTTTTTAGGTGATACTAAATATTCTTTAATGATAATATATTAATAAATAAATTATAATCATGAGAATTAATTCTGCCTTGGTTTATAAAAATGACATCAAATTTGATTGTGAAAAACTGGTTTAAAGTGTTATCAGTGAATTGAATTAATACACGAGCGGCATTTAAAATTAAAGTCATAGTCGTCAAATTTGTATTTGCTCCCTGGCTATTGCTACAGTATATTAATATAAAATATAGTACCTTTGACCTCATATAAATATTCTTCCCAATCTCTTAGATATATTCCTTTCAAGTGGCAACCTCCGCCGTTATTGTGGCTTTCGCATCCAATTTTGGTTCTGGTGTATCATTCTTAATTTCAACTTTTAGCGGTTGGTTTGCCTTGTCAGATTCTATACATCTATCTCGTTTTCTAGTTATAGATAAATTATCTGGTTCAATATCTAATAATTTATTAAAATCTTTTAAAGCATTTCCATATTGCCCAAGCATATGATAAACATTTCCTCTCCATTTCAATGCCTTCACATTATCTGGTTTCAATTCCAACGAGCGATTTAGATTCTGTAATGCGTCATCATACTGTTTGAGTTTACGGTAAACATTTCCTTTCCACTTTAATGCAACCGCATCGTCTGGTTTCCATTCCAGCGAATTGTCTAGATCATCTAATGCTTCATCGTAGTGCTTGAGTTTGCAGTTAACAATGCCTCTCCATTTCAATGCAACCGCCTCGTCTGGTTCCCGATAGAGCGAGTCGTTTAGATCCTCTAATGCTGCATCGTACTGTTTGAGTTTGCGATAAACGTTTCCTCTCCACATTAGTCCGTTTGCAAACCTTGGTGCCAATTCTAGCGCTACGATGAAGCATTAGATGATCTAGACAATTCGCTGGAATGGAAACCAGACGATGCGGTTGCATTA